GGGGGGGGGGGGGGGGGGGGGGGGGGGGGGTGCAAGCCGGGGGAGCGGTGGCCAATCATTGTTGCTGCTTCATAAACCAGCCAACCAAAGCATCGACGTTCATCTGCGCTCTCTACAAACTGCTGCAGATCACCCCCCCCGCCCTCCCCCCAATTTTTTTCTGCGCCCTCTCTTATGCGCGTGGGCAACGGTCTAACAGCCAAGGCATGCTTAACATGAGAGTACGCCCCTCCCCACCCCCAACCAGCCGTCCGCCTTACACACACACAATAGCATACGCTAAACGTTTGGTTCTTGGTATGTACCACTCACGGGGCATGGTGGCGGACCATAGAGTGGTCTGCTTGTTCTCCGGCATCTCCTTGAAGATCTCTTCCACAGGCTCCTGGAACCCCATCTGCAGCATCAGGTCCGCCTCATCGAGGACGCAGAACTGGATCTCGCTCTGCATCAGGAGTCGAATCATTCGGTTCGGTTTGGGCACGGTGGGGTGTGTGTGTTTAAATACTGCTGTGTTCGCAATAAAAATCCGTCCAGTCTCCGATCAGTACCTTCTAATATCGAACAGCAGAAGGAATGGGACCGCCGTTCTGTACCTTGTAACATCGCACACCAGACAGAATGAAACCGACGCTCTGTACCTTCAACTTTTAACACCGCACCGCAGAAAGAATGGGACCTCCTTCTCCTTCTCAAGGATAGATAATAGACGGGGGGGGGTTCGTAACCCTAATCCCTACTAAAGCCCAGACGAATATCCTCGCCAAGGCTACTGAAAAACGTGTACTTCTATAGCATCAAGTTGGCGAACAACTCCAACAGCAGTCCGGTCGCTTGCGTGCATTGTCTTACACCGATAAGTCTCAACAAGATAGCCGACAGGGGGTGGAGGCTGCGGTGGTCAGCACGCACGACTTGGGCCTCCCTCCGTAGGTCTTGAGGAGTCGAAGGGGGCAAGGCTGGAATACGAGGGGTATCGTGATGTTTCCGCGTGTGCCACCGACCACCACTAGCAAGGACGCATCTAACGAGGTTTGTTCGAGGGTTCGTTAACTAATAGCCACACTCTCGCCAGTTCACTAATATAACGTAGACAAGACGAAAAAAGTTTCGCGATCGTGAGTGGAGTTCGCTTGAAAGCTTTCGACTACTGCACACGTTCGGCTGAGCTGCGCCGCACATCATCGAGCCCCCGCCTTCGCCTCGAGAAATCAAGATTAAGAGGAAACAAAACCGGGAGGGGATACGCAGACCCTATCCCTAACCCAACTCCCCCGATAGCATGCCTTTTCCAACATGTCTACTCGATAGAAAAACCCTGCGATATCTACTGGGACAGGAGGGGGGGCACGCAGACTCCATCCCTAAACCAACTTGCCCCGATTGCACCCTTTATCCAACATGTTAAATTTAATTGAAAAAAACCGAAGGTATCTACGCAGACCCTATATATATCCCTTGACCCGACCTCCCCGATTTGCACCCTTTATCCAACATAATAACTAAACAGAAAAAATCCTGCCAAGGCAACTATTACACTAAAAACGCCGAGCAACACCGTGTGCAACACCGTCCTCCCTCACCAAGTTAAGGTTTCCCTGCTCGATGTGGTCGATTATGCGACCGGGGGTGCCGACGATGATGTCCACCCCCCTGCGCATCTCCCCGATCTGGGGCCCCTGTGCGGTGCCCCCGTAGACGGCAAGCGATGACAGCTCCGGCGCGATACGGTTGAACTCGCGCTCCACCTGGGGGTGGACAATTACGGCAACGTTGCGGCGTGCCGACACACAACAACAGGGTGATGATTTGTGCAGTAGCAACAACGTCCGCTGAATCTGATGGCAGCGGCGCTAGGTACTTTGGTCAACCAACGGAGTAACGACGTAGCAGCAGCAGCAGCAGCAGCAACAACAACAACGTCAGCTGTAAGATGATGGCAGTGTCGCTACGTACCTCAGTCCTTGGTAGTCATCATCTCTGTACTAGTTCTCCGGAGACTTGGGGGGGGGGGTAATACATATTTCGCATGGATGACACTGCATCCTGACTCGAGCGAGGGCTCTCTCCTTCATCACGTTCTCTTTTGGACAAAAAAGGACTGCTGTTGAGTTCCATGAGTTCCATCACTAAAGCCTACAGCAGGCTGATTGCGGACGGAGTCCAGATGGATACGGATCAACCGCCAATCCCTGCCGCTGTACAAGCAAGCAGCCCCAGGTGCCTGCTGTCGAAACCCACGCATCCATCGTGACTGCTGTAGCCATTTTACCTGCTTCGCCAGCTCTCGAGTGGGGGCGACGCAGATTGCTCGCGGGAAGCGCCCGTACGCCCCCCTGCTGAAAAGCCTGCCCCGCCCTCCGCGCTGCCTTTGCACAGACTCCCCCCCGCTCTGCCGGTCCAACGCCTCGATGATCGGGATGGCGAAGGCAAGGGTCTTTCCGGATCCGGTACGGCTCTTGCACATGAGGTCCTGCCCGCTAACCACCTTCAGATGCAAAGTAAAAATGCCCCGCAATTGAGAATATACGTTAAGGGGGCGCAAGTGGCAACAAGTGAGAAAGAACCGAGCTGCGGGAGAACGGTTCTAGGATTGACGACACTCCAACCAAAAAAAGTGTGAACAAAGTTTGACACCGGTGCGCGCTCTGGCATCTTGTTGTTTCGTCGTCTTCCACCGAAAAACCGTTCCGGTCTCTGCTCAGCAAGTTCCTTTTAACATCCGCCCGTTCGCGTGCAATCGGTGCGGACGCCTTCGTGGTCACAGGCCAGCTACCCAATAAAGGCATACACTTGAGAAAAGTATCAAACGAACAAATCGGACTACAAATACTCATCATCAAACACGATACTGAAGAGAAGCAATCTGCGCAAGACGAACAAGCACGATGCGGGTGATTGGATTCGAAGTAGGAAGACAAACGGCCAAACAACGATGGACGGACTCCATCACCAATTCCCACCAACTTCGCGCCCCCCCCTGCCATCTCACTGCTGTACCTTTTCGAAGCACTGAGCCTGCACGGGGAAAAACTGGTCCACGCCGACCTTCCGTAGCTGCCGCTGCAGCCGCTGGTTAAGGCCGTAAGAGTCAAAATCCATCGACTTCTGTGCAACAAGGGTCAAGGGTGGGGCCGGGGAATAAATGCTCAGCATCAACATGCGGGTGGCACGAGCCGCTCTGGCAAAAGCTGTAAGATTCGAAATCCATCGACTTCTGCGCAACAAGGATAGACCTGTCAGGAGGACCGGGGGCTACGCAGTGTCAACGTGCGGGTGGTACATACAATTAGCGCCCACGCTCGAAGACCCTCTGGTTTCGGCCGAGGCTGGGCTTCCTAGGGTTCGGCTACAAAAGGCCGCTATATGTAGTCGGGTGCCCTCTTTATAGTGCGGGTACGTGCCCTGCGTTTTTGCCCGCACTATTACAGCGGGAACCTTCCCTATTCAATGCAGTTAAAACCATTTCGACTGATCCATGAATACCTGCCAATTTCACTCGCGGGCATCCATGCCAAAACATCATCGACGTTGATAATTCAACGCCGTCGCGCCAAACGTGGCACCTACTCGAACCCAACCGTGTGCCAGTACCCCACGACCACACCCGCCGACGTCTCAAAACAGCAGTAGCAGATCCCCACCCCGCGGATCCTTTCTCACCCCTTGCGCGTGTGCCGGCGGGGCATCGACGGTCTCGTCCATGTCGACTTCGATGCCGTTGCTGGTGTGGTCGTCACCATCGTCCATGTCGTCGAGCATAGCACCCGCGCTGTGGCGGATATCGTCGAGCTCGTGGAGCAGGCTCGACAGGGTGCTTTCTTCGTCTTCTTCCTCGGCGCTGGTGCACGATAGGGACGGGGACGGGGGGAGGGTTGTTAAGGGTACTCGATACTCATCTGCGGGGACCCCGGGGATGGGGGGGGGGGGGGGGGGGCCAAAAAACAAAATCC